TCTATCCATCATCACGATTCCTAGATCCTAGGAAATCGTGCACTAGGTGTTAACTGCCCACGTTTCACCAAACGGTCATTGTGGGGCACGTGCCCCACCAACTATCAGCTCTTTAATGCTGATTTAAGGTTCTTTGAACTCCCACGAGCTTATAAATTGTCCCAAGCTTAAACATTTTAACTTTTAGACTCCCAGAAATATTCAAATACTTTCCTTCCCTCTACATTTCTTCAAGTATTAACAATGGCGTCTTCAACCACCAATGTTAAAGATTCCAAGAAAAGCCACAAGTCTAAAGACCTGAAGAAGATTTCCCAACTTCCTTCCTTTGACACACTGTCAGCACCTATAATGATGGGAAACCAACAGTTCCTCCCCGAAGCACTTCAGGTACTCATTCCCCTTATCGTTTCTGGTAAAATACATGCCCTATGTGGTCCTTTACCTTCTCCCAGTTTTGATCATGATAAATCTAGGGACTTTTTCCATCTTACCATAAATCAAAATCCATAGGTCAGGAAAACAAAATTAGGGTTGAGAAAACTTCTTTTGATGCGGTAGTATTGAACAACATAAATTTGAGGTAAATGAACAATAACTTTAGGGTTTTTAGAGCAACACCCTCTTTCAAAGAATCTGGCAATTATATGAACTGGCTAGCGAAAATAGAGAAAGTCAAATCCTAAACCTGGAAGAAACTAGGAATCTACCACTTGATTATGCTGTCGAAAATTATTTTTGATTATTGTCAGACTATGTTGGTTTCTTCCTTGTACTTTTGGGACAACACCCACTATACTTTCCATCTCCCTTGTGGGATGATGACCCCTACACTTTTCGACATAGCCGCTATCACATGGCTTAAACCCACTGGAAACCCCTAGGATCCCGAAATAGGATCTGATGATTCCATAGGTTTTGCCTCTGCCAAAGCCACATACTCTCACTTCATAACATATTTCTTCGACAAAACAACTGCTAATGTTTCTGATCGAGAACACATAACTTTTTTAACTGTATGGATATCCCACTGTGTCTTTTACTCAAAGTCCCTTCAAGTAGCTAGGAGATACCTAACCCTGGTCATTCAACTTCACAAGGGCCATGATATCTGTCTAAGCGAGATAATCTTAGGGAATCTCTATGAGTCTCTAAGTGAAGGAGTAACCCAACTTAAAGACTTAGGAGAAAAAGGAAACCTTTTACTATTTGGTCCCTTCTGGATGTTATAACTCTGGCTGAATGCCTCATTTGAAGCCATCCTCCCAAATGAAAATCCAATTGATGAGACTGCTGAAAACATAAGGAATAGGAGAGTCCAAGGGACTCGCTTGGTCCAACTCACTCCCAACGAAGAAGGACAAACCTTCAGGCCAATGTTCTTAAGTTATGTCATGATATTTTCCAAACTTCATGAGTTTACATCGAATATGGCTCCTTTTGTTGTAAGGAAATATGGTCCTGAGTGGTTCACCAGACCTTTCTCAACCCTAATTAAGGCTCAAGAGGCAGAATCCTTACAGATATGCGAAGCTTTCTTGATTCCAAGGTTGCTAACGCTTCGAATGAATCTGTCGAAGTATCAAGTGGCTTTGGTTGCTTACTAACCAAATTTGGTGGCCAGACAGTTTGGGTTGGTCCAAGCTCTCCCTAAGTGTCTCTTTGAAAAGAAATGTGCTTTTCTGCTTCATAATGTGAAGTACACTAAAGATATGGCTTTGATGCAACTTTCCCGTTACTCTAACAAAGCTCAACTCGTCCCCACTAATTTTGAACCGTGTTTCTTTTGTACCCCAGAGTTCAACCACTGATGGTCAACATACTATGCAGACGAGTTCTTCGCTCCTCCTTCTTTTACTCAGCTTATTAACCAAGTTTTCCTCTGTGCACGAGAACACTAAGAAAGGTACTTCGACACACATCAAAGAAATCCAAGCATTCTAGAAGTACTTTGAAACTGTTTATCAACTAGATGATCTTAGTCGAACCGTCTGTGAGGCAGCTGTTACTTTAAAGGAAATGTTTTTAAGAAAATGGAGAATTTAGAACTCCCTTCGTTCGTTCCTCCTAGGAAAAAGTACACGATGGATTTCAAAACATTTCCTCGACTACCAAATGTTGACTTTGGAGTGGCCCTTGCCGCTCTATTTCCATACTAGTGTATCTGTGGGGATTCCATAAAAATCCTTCATCACCAGTCAAAACCAAAGGCCCAGCGGGTGGTTGCGACTGAGCATACTCTAGACAGTTTCAAATGTCCTCTTCATATCGGTATCGAGGATGTTCGTATCGAATCTAAAATATATAAAGGTGTGGGATGGGAGGTTTTCGAACTATATTTCCCTTATTTGATTTTTTATCATCTTACTTGTATTGTTCTTGTTTAAATTTCAGATATCAAGGTTTCACCCAAAAAGAAGAAACAAATTAAAGAACAGAAAGAAGAAAGCAATCAAATTTCTAAGGTAAATCTCTTACTTAATTTTCCCTTGCTGCGAAATCTCATGTTGTATGATACTTCAACTCTTTTATCCTCAGAAATCTCGAAGGCCACCGTTCATTCTAAAGAAACAAAAATCGAGGGGAGATTCCAACCACATCATAATTGAGTCAGATGAGGAAGACCAATCTCCTCCTAAAGAACAAACATTGAAAAGGAGGAGGAAACAAGCAAAAATAAGTGAAGTCTTCAATCAACCGAAATCAAAGGCTGGAAAATTCTCGACAAAAGCAACCCCTGCTTGCAACATAACACAGACTGAAAGTGACAACTCTAGCCCTAGGGCTGATGATCCCAAGGTAAATACTTCTCCTGCAACCTTGCAATTTATTCACCATTTGTCCCTCTAATTCTTTGGCTTTTCTCTTTTCAAATTACCATTGTCATCAGAGGTCAACCCATGGTGCAGCAGATTATTCTAACAACCAGTAGTAACCCTAGCTATCATCCAACAACTCCTTCTGGGGCCTATGTAAAAGGCTCGACAAAAGGATCTGAGGAGGGAATCCAATTTGCAGCTGCTCCCAAGAAGACACCAGTCGTTCCTATGGTGGAGTTTCCTCGTGTCGAAGTGACCATTCCAATAGAGGACCTAGTCGAGAAAGAAATTTGTTGATCTTTCAGGGGACACTGTGATGCCTAATATACAGCAAACTGCTGAGGGTAATCTTGAGGAGAAACCAAGCGAAGATGGCAAGCTTGTTGAAGAGGAATAAGAAAAAGAGGAAGAAGATGATGAAAAAGAAAATGAAGAATGAAAAGAAGAAGAACAATAACAAGAAAGAGAGCAATCTGCATCTGAAATAGAAAATGAAGTGAAGGTTCTGGAAGACCAAGTGAACTAAGAAAATCAATCCAAGGATCCTCCAACCATCACTTCGAATGGCACTCAATTGACCGACCTTTCCCATGAAGAGCTAGAATCTTTGAAAGTACAACGACCATTGAAGTATTTAAAAGCTATGCTCAGCTCCTAATACAGCTTTGGCGACAAAAGCACCACCACTTCGACCGCCTCATGAAACACTCTGACTGGGAAAACTGATAACGACTTACTTTTGCAAATAAAAGAAAAAATCTTGGCAGTGGACTTGTTTCAAATCCTGGAACAAGACGTTTATGTTAGTTTTGGTCTCAAGAAACTTCTAAAACAAATCAATGTCTTGGAAGTTTCCCTAAAAGTGGTTGATGTCATTATGGAGCTGAACATGATGATTGATCTAGTTGCCACTGATCTCAACCGCCTTAGAGACTTCTCAAGCAACCTTTCCAAAAAATTGGCAATCAAACAGCTGCATGGGAGACTGTCTCGTCGTCTACTGAAAAAGTTTCGACACTCGAGAAACTTTCTTAACAGAATAAGGAGGTCGAAAAATGTAACAAGAGCATTGCAAAATGGGAAAGACAAATTGTCATTTTACAAAATAAAATCTCTCCGGAAAAACAATGCAAGAGCGTTTTGAGCTCAAATTTGTTGAACTCAATCTTCATTTTATTGTCAATATGACGGTGAACGGTACTCGAGCTTCACAATCTTTTGTCTCCGTAAGGTAGGAGATGGTGCATTTCATATTTGATATCTTTATGGGAGGTGAAATTAGTGAGCATAAAAATTCTCATGGGTGTGGAGCTGGAGAAGGAGACATTTGCGACATACCAATAGATGTTTATTTGTGACATTTGAGACATTTTCAGTTTGTGTGAAATATAACATAAGAGCACCTAAATTTGTAGAAGTTATAAATCAATTTGGAACACTCATTAACTGTCATATTGATTCAGGAGATGTATCTCCAAAACCGCACTTTATTATCTTGTTCTAAAGATGCATCTTTGGAATTTCTCCTGAACCAGTTTCAAAACAGAACCTTTAAAACAAAATCTTTTTTTACAATAGCACAAATTTTTATATAGGGAAGATAACAAATGCATTAATACACAATATGAGAAAATGTTGAATATATTACACTTTATTTATATTGAGACACAAGTATTTACATTTATTTGTTCGGATAAACAAGAAATTAAAATGAATCAAAACATTTGTCGCCGTATAAATCTATTGGTGGTACTCCCTTGGATTTTTTTGAATTATTTTTTTTTCAATGTTGTTTAATTTCTAGAATTCTTGCATCCTTTTCATAAAATGATTCGGCCAAGTCATGGCTTTTGTGGTTGAATGAGCCACCCACTTCAGTAATGTAACTGATATAAGACATCCCAATTTCAAGTAAACTTGATAAAATGACTTGATTTTGAAAGTCACCCAATACACATGATACGGTCATTTGGATTTTGAGGTGGGGCGGTGCGCATTGGGAGAAAGGTATCCCAAAAACCATATTGTGTCAGGTCAACACACACTCTATCATATGCACATGCTATTCGATGACCCATTCCAGGGAAGCACATCCATTTAGCCTCCAGTGCCAGATCGCTCAAGCAAGGAACATGCTACCGTGGGTTTGACCCGATTTCTCATATTTTTTGTTATGTGATACTAATAAAGTAATTCATTAGAATAATGAAATAACTTTGCAACTGAATTCATCAATGTGGTATCACGATCGGTAACAATTGCTTTAGGCATCTCACCTTGGATCTTCAACAGTGCCCGACACACCTCTAAGGCCCAAGTAAAGTTGTCCTTTTTTTCATACTCAAGAAATGCAAAACCATTAGAATATGTCTTCTCAGTTAAGGTAACACCAACCATCTCCAATAAGGTCAATCTATACTTGTTGGTCTTGTGGGTTGAATCAAGTATGAACATCGTAGGAAACTTGTTAAACAACTTTATAGAATTAGGATGAGTCCAAAATATATCTCTAATAGTAAATTCATCCTCACACATTCGGTACCTAGACACATAACTGTTATCATCCAACAATTTCAAGAGTTGTTGCATCTCAGTTCTATCCCTTCTAAGCGCATTGTTAGTGAGGTACTGAATATTATAAACTTGCTTGATAATTGATATATTTTTGGGTCGTTTATGTTTCAATGTTCTAAGTATATTTTTCAGTTGAACAAGAGTCAAGGTCATGTCAGCAACACATTCCTTCTCTGTGAGGGAAAAGCCTCATATACTATACATGCGTGTTTCAATGATGTCAAAACGCAACCACATGGAAGAATCGATACTTGGCATTATCACCACAAGGCATAAGCATACCTTATCTCTTATGTCTCATTTACTTGCATGTTGTATCGTTAAATTAGCATTATTCGAGTCAAACATCATTGGTGTATTATATGTTGCATCTAGAAGAGTCAAAAACATAAAAATAGGCATTTTTGCAAAATACAGGTCTTTGAGTCGACCATTCATCTGCTCCGGTTGACTCATAGAAGGTGTCTCTAAATTTCATTTTCCACGGGTTAGCGCACGTCGACCTACTGGTCGGCGCATACTGTTATCATTTCTATTTGTCAAAAATTGAAGGCTTTGCGTCGACGCATAGTCCTGTTTCGGTCGATGCATAGATGTTTATTTTACAGAATCTATTTTCACATGTTAAGCTATGGTCGACCACTACCTTCTGCATAGGTCGACCGTTTGTTGTTTGTTGCATAATTTTTGGCCTGTCTATCATTTTGAAAAGTGGTTTTATCAGTTATTTTTGGTCTGATATAAATAGAAAGTTGCTCATTTCATTTCACAACAATTGAATCAATTGTAAAACAAGAAAAGTGAAAGAGGTGCCATTAGTTCTCATCATCTTCATCTTCTACATTTCATACCACAACAATCACACACAATAATCTTTGTTGTGCGTTATGGATTGTTTGAAGTGATAACGTCCGAAGCCGTTGATTGGGAATCCGGTTCGGGTTGAGATTTTGGCAGGTTTTTCTTGAATAAAACCTTTAGGGTTTCATCCTCCAAGATTCTCTGAATTTAGGGGTTTTTGGTACGAATCTTCTCAACATATATTCAGTTGAGCGAAGGTGATCGAGGAGCGGTAGGTTTCGTCGATCTAGTAACGATAATCGGCGAATTGTGAAAGAGAGGTTCGAGTTCGATTGACAAGTGTTTGATATCAGTCGGGTTGGGGTTGAAGACGTAAGGTTGTTTAACCAAGGAGCTGTAATTGGAGGTTTATCCACAAACAATCGAAGGACTTGATTCGACTCGAATCAAGGGACAAGAAGAGAAAGCATCTTCAACAACAAGGGAGTTTGGTTGTGCATTTGTTATTCTATTCCTGTATAAACGATTCAGAAACAGGTTACATTTATATTATACGAGCTCAATTTTATTGTTAGAATTGAGGGCAGACGTACCCCGAAGCGAGCACGGCGAGGGAACTGCTTCAACAAATCCTTGTGCCTTTTACATTACGCTTTTACATTTGCTTAATATTTTCGAGATTTTCGTACAAACAATTATATCGAATTTAGGACTGTTTTGAGTAGGTGCTGAATTAATTTTGACTCTAGTACAATAGTTTATTGTACAAGGAAACTAAAGCTACTTACTCAAAGCCGAACTCACTTGGAGTGCTCCGCACGCTAAGTGTTTGATAAATTGTCTGAACCAAAATTCTCGTGTGCTGTCCATTTATTTTGTTGGCATTTTAAGGCATTGGAACTAGTCATACCAAGTAGTGATATAAATTAAATTGGTAGTGTGACTATCGTGGTGATTCTCATTTCTCATTATCAATTTCCATAAGTTAGACGCATATCCGGTCCTCTAGTAACGGTTCGTTATAGACGGTAATTTTTCCACGGCCGCTTCCGCAAATTAAACAAATTTTTAAAACCAATTTTATTGGTAGCGCCGACTCATTTTTTAATAAAGGGATCTATTCAACCCCCTTCTAGATCCGCGCCATCGTCTAACATTCTCTTCCAGCTTGAGCTGACAGACACTAGGACGACATGCTAATTTTAAACATGAATCATGGTTATGCAAACCACACATCACATTAAATGTCCAGTTTTTTTCCAACATGTAACCACGAACCTTAAACGAATAATCACATTTTCTTGTACAAGTGTCGTCTCTTTTAAAATTCTAGAGAGAAGTTCTATATTTCTCACTTCTTTCGCACGTCATTGTCACAAAAGCGTATCTTTTATCGAACCATTATCGGACCTTCCGGTAACCACACCAAATCCAAGTTTAAAGGCCTACATACGAATCAATTGAAGCATTTGATCACGAGATTCAAACTCTTACTTGTTTTTAAATTATTTGCTAACATCTATCGCCTTCATAACAACACCTTGGACATTCAGAGAAATAACTTGTTTTGGAAAAACATTGGGGTGCATCATTTCTAATGAAAAAAATCAAAACCATAATAGTGCATAAGCGCTACTACTGAAGATAGACTTGAAAATCAGACACAAACAACTACCAGAGATGCATCTCTGGCCAAGTTCATACTTGTTTTGGAGATACATTTTCTGACACGACGTAATTTTTCTCATAAAAAATAATGATTAATGTGAGGAATGTAGAGGGAAAAGAAGAATTTTTACCTAAAATTCTATCTTTTTTTGCTATCTATGTTGTGATGAACCAAACAAATGGAGATTTGGAGTGAAAAATGGATTAAGAATGAAGGGTTTTTTGGTGAGGGGTTTGGTTGAAAACCAACTACGACAACAATGGCTATGTGATCATATAGCTGATTCTTTTATCAAATATTTTCAAAGATACATCTCCAGAAATATCAGACATGCAAAGGTGATAGGAAATTTCAAAATGCCGCTCATAATTTCGGAGATGTAACTTCAAAATATCTACTGAACTGATAAATAGTTAAGGTATTTTTTAAAATATTCCGGAGATGCATCTCTAAAATAAAAATAACCAAACTTATAGGACTTCTCTCATAATGGTCTTACTTGAGTGTGTAAGAGTTGCGTCTCAATATAAATCTTCAAAAATATAAAGCATTTCTAAAAATTCATGTGGTGCAGTAAAAGTATCTAAGATGCATTAAAAATTATATATGATAAAACAAATTAGAGTTTAGTCTGCTGTAGCCATATCCAAGTCTTCCATTTTAAAGTTATTCTCTATTAAATTGACCCAACAAATAATACAAAAAACCAACTCTCTTCTAAATTTTATGTTTAAATTTCAAGGTATATTTAAAATTTTAAAAATTGTGTATATTGATTTTTAGAATATGTTTAAAATATTAAAATGTTTTAAAATATAATTATGATCTAATAAATTAAATAACTCTACAGAGAATTTATAAAATTCTCCCTTCTATATTTCAAGTTTAAATTATAAATTAAATTTAAATTTTTAAAATTTTTAAATAAATGATTTTAGAATATATTTTTAAAATTAAAATATTAAAATATTTTTTTCACTTAATGAATTATATATCCTTGAAAAAAATAAAGAAATCTCTCTCTTTTACATTTTAGGTCTAAATTATAACTTTAATATTTTAAAAATTATATGTATATGATATAAGAATAAAATAGAATTTTAACAAAATAAATTAAATATCCCTATTAATAATAAAAACTAATATCATTATAAAGAATAAAATATATCAAAAAAATCTCTCTCTTCTTCATTTCTGGTTTAAATATAAATTTGACCTAATGAATTAAATATACCCGTAAAAGATAAAAAAATTGAATAAAAGACAATATTAGTTTCCTTTATTATTTTTCCACACTTTTATAATCACTATGAATCTTAAATATATTATTTTCTCGCCACTTTTTTATATATTTCACAAAATTTGTAGGATATCTACTATGTAAGAACTTTTTTGGCCTTTTTTTTTTTTTAAAATTTAACTTCTTATTCAATTGAACCTTTGTTATGCCTTTATTCTTTATATTTCCTTATTCAATGAAACTAATCTATGTTTTTTTCGCCTAAAAGAAATTACAAATAATTCGAATCATATCTTTTTCAATGATCTCACTAATTTTACGTCAAACACCACGATCAAAATCATAATCACTCGAATGTGAAATAATTTGAACATGAACATGAGAAAGGAATTAATTAGCACATATATGAGTTAATGGATGAAAATGTTCTCTTATTTCATCTCATTCCTTTATTAAATCCTTTTATCATTGCCAAAAATACTTTTCTTTACCTCTTAAAATTTAATTTTTTAAGAGAAATTACATATATGCAATGATATCAAGAAACTTTGCATGCACATAAAAAAAAGTAATGGAAGAAGAGAATATTTATGTTATCGAAGGTTTTGAGGTATCAAAGAACAAATGAAATATGTTGTTGAAAATAATTACTTAACTTCGATTACTTGTTTTATGTAAATGATTATACGTTCAAAATTTAAATTATTTTATTGGCATTTTTGAAGGGTGTACGATTACGTATTTTGTGTAATCTATTATCATTCTTAAAAGTTGGAAAAATGACTTCTTCTTTTTTTTTTTTTTTTTAATTTATAACCGATTATGTATTTTGTGTAACTAGTTATCACCCATAAAAGTTGGTAAAATACCATTTTACTTAGACTTATAATCGACTACATGTTTTGTGTAACCGATTACACATTCGCAACTTTAATTCTTTCACTTGTTTACCATGTCTTTTGTGAGTTTAATTGGTAAATTTTGATTGTCAGTTTATTGCTATGTATGAATGATACGTTTATATCTTAAAGAAATAAAAAATAGCACATTCTTATTGATGGATCATCATGAAGGAAAAACATTTACATTGTGTCAAACGTTCACCTAAAGGTCAAAGACTCACACAAACAAGTGAGAAAGATACCACATATTCACCCAAAACCTTGTTGAGTATAGCAAGTGTGAGTAGTATGGGTAATAGTCCCACATTAGCTAGAAATGTAGAGACTTGAGCTTTTATAAGTAAGAGAACTCATACCACTACAAGAAAATGTTGATTTTCCCTAGTGATTTAGTGACGTGGTAAACACGTGGGAAAAAAATCTGTTGCCAAGTGATTCTCACGTCACTAATTAATAAATTTGAATCCTTTTATTTGCACGTGAGTAGCATGTCACAAAATACCCACTGCAACCGTTGCGTTGACATTTAGTGGAGCAACGGTTATATTTTAATATATGGGAATGTTACGACGTGTGCTGCACGTGGCAAATTTCCTAAGGGAATTTCACGTGCGTTGACATTTAGTGGAGCAACGGTTATATTTTAATATATGGGAATGTTACGACGTGTGCTGCACGTGGCAAATTTCCTAAGGGAATTTCACGTTGCAAATGTTGAAAATGCTAGTTGGTTCCGACGTGGTTTTCACCTGGGTACCTTCTCACGTGTCCACCACGTCGCAAATGTCCTTATATATATTTAATAACCTAGAATTTCTTCAGCCACATCTCGTTTCTCTTCTTTCCTTCTACCTCTTCCTTCTTTCCCTTCCCTTCATTGTTCTCCTTCTGCCTCCCTTAAAGCTCCATTTTTAGCAAAAATTTTGCAAAAAATTTAAGGTGAAGCATTTGTATGTTGGTTTTGTGACTGTTTTACCTTACCGTTTATTTTATGTTTTTCTTATTATTAATTGTTGATTTTTTTTCTTCAGACCTAAGATTGATTAAGAAGTTCCATTAGAAGCTTTGAGAGTTAGCTCTATATTGAGGTATTTATGCATTTCAATTTGTTTATCTTTGATATTTTGGTGATATATGAAATATTATTTTAGAATATTGATTAGAAAATTTTAGATTTTTTGTTGTTAGATATATCTATGTGTGTGTGTGTGCGCGCGTGTGTGCATGTGTGTGTGTGTGTGTCTGTGTGTGTGTATATTGTGTTGTTGTTGTTGAAAGCAAAAAATAAAAATAATATGTTATGTATTTTTAATTATGAAAACAGAATATTTATTAGAAACAAATTAGAAAAACAGAATATTTATTAGAAACAAAAATAATATATTAGAAACAAATTAAATATGTTATGTATTTTTAATTTTTAAAAACAGAATATTTATTATGTTAGAAAAAGTAGAATTTTTAAAAATATTTTTAGTAAATAATATTGTAAATAGAAAAAATTAAAATATATTTTTTTAAAAACATAAAAATATGTATTATATTTAAAATGTGTTGTTTTTAAATATATTACTTTTTGAAAAAGTATTTTTATTAAAAAAGAATGAATATGTATTAAATGTGTTATTTTTAGTAAACCAATTATATATATTATAGACTATTATATTATTGAATAGTTATTATATTTTAATAAACATAATATATATTATTTTAGAAAAACAGATTTTTAAAAATAATGAATATATATTATGTTTTAAATATGTTATTATTAGTAAACAAATTATATATTATATTTTAGAATATTATATTTTGAGAATATGTAGTATATTTTAGTAAACATAATTTATATTATTTTAGTGAACATATTTTATTAGGTTGGTGTCGAAATAGAAAAAAATAGATTTAAATTACATATTTTATTAAAATGATATATAATGATAGTACAAATGTGCATTATGGAATATTTTTGTTACTATCGTAGTTGGATGTACGATAGAAAGTTGCCAGGAAGACGTGGACTTACACCAAATTTTGAGGAAGCAGTTAAGGGGTTTATCACGTGGGCATTTGCACAAGAATGTTGTCGACGTGAAGGAGGAGTGAGATGTCCTTGTCTTAAATGTGAATGTAGACCTATAATTAGTGACCCATAGGAAGTAGAACGTCATTTGAAGAGGAAGGGTTTCATTAAAAATTATTGGGTTTGGACATATAATGGAGAACAAATGCCGAGTAACGTATATGCAGAGACAACTAATACACACGCATCAAGCAGTCGATCACATATGGAATTTGATGAACAATTTAATCTGATTGATGAAATGGTTGGAAATGCATTTGGAGTAAATGTGACATATGATGAACCTCAGGATTTTGATGGGGAAGAGTTGCCGAATGAGGAAGCACAAAGATTTTACCAATTATTGAAAGAAATGAATACACCGTTGTTTGAGGGGTCAGCAGATTCAAAATTATCAATGTGTGTGAGATTATTGGCCGCAAAGTCAAATTGGAATGTTCCTGATTAGTGTTTGGAATACTTTGCAGAAATGATGTTGGATGCGACTCCTACGAAAGACAACTTTCCTACAAGTTATTATGATGCAAAGAGGTTGGTGTCGAAGTTGGGTTTAGAAGTACGAAAGATTGATTGTTGCATAAATGGATGTATGTTGTTTTATGACAATGAGTTTGGTATTAATGATGAGGCGCTGGAGGAATGTAAGTTCTGTAAGAGTCCGAGATATCAAGTTCGTAGTAAAGTCATTAACCGTAAACAAAAACGTGTAGCAGTGAAGTCCATGTTTTATTTACCGATAATACCAAGGTTAAAAAGATTGTTTTCTTCAATGCATAGTGCAAGTCAAATGACATGGCATCATACAAAAAAAACATGTTCAGGCATGATGCGGCATCCATCTGATGGTGAGGCATGGAAACATTTTGATAGGGTACATTCTGATTTTGCTGCAGAACCTAGAAATGTCAGGCTCAGACTATGCTCTGATGGTTTTACTCCATACATTCAAGCATCTGCAACTGCATATTCCTGTTGGCCAGTTATCGTAACCCCTTACAACCTCCCTCCAGAGATGTGCATGACAAAACCATACATGTTTTTGACTTGCCTCATTCCAGGACCGTGAAGTCCTAAATCCGGAATCGACGTTTATTTATAATCTTTAATAGATGATTTGAAGAGGTTGTGGATTGGAGAATAGACATATGATATATCTCGCAAACAAAACTTTACTTTGCGAGCTGCCTTGATGTGGACTATTAATGACTTTCTTGATTATGGAATGTTATCTGGTGGACGAAGAGCATGAAGAGTTTGGATCTGAGGACATTATTGAATCAGATGATGAAAATAATATGGACGAAGAGCATGAAGAGTTTGAATAGATAGTTTTTATATGTGTTCGAACAATTTTTATTAATGTATTATTTGTTTTATATGAATGCAAATGATTTTTATGTATGTATATTGTATTGATAATAATCTTGATTTATTTACGTATTATTTATTTATTGATAACTCTTTCAAAATAGATACAATGCCACCCCGAACTGACAAGGGTAAGGCTAAGGAGACCCAGCCCCATTCGAGAGCCAGAGTACGTGAGGTACCGCCCTCGCCCATGTATGCTTCTCGCCCACAAACTCAGGCAAATCTAATGTCCGTAGACACTTCACATCCATTTACGCATTACTCTCCTTCTCCCAAACGGTTCCATCTGGGAATCCATCATTTATTAGTCCATTTGGTGGATCCTTCATGCATCCATCTACGTTTACACAGCAGTCTGGGGGATCTAGTTTTCCCCATGTACCATCTACGTTTACGCAACAGTCTGGGGGATCTAGTTTTCCTGGGGGAGCTAGTTTTCTTCCTCAGCATTATTCCTTCACACAGCAGCCTGGGGGATCTAGTTTTCCTCAGCAGACTCACTTTGCACAGCCTGGGGGATCTGTTTTTCCTCAGCAGTATTCCTTCACGCCGCAACCTTCAGGATCTAGTTTTCCTCAGCCGACTCCCTCCACGCACCAGCCAGAGGGATCTGGCTCCCGCACTCCACACCCCACACAATCACCTGCGCGTCAGCAGCAGGATGACCACACTATTCAGGAGGATGACGATGTTCATGAGGAGCAGACAAATCCTGTTGCAGAGGAGCTTTTGGTGGTTGAAGGACGACATCTGATTAGGCCTGAGGGATCTGGGTATATTTTTAATTTATAATATTTATTTAGCTATATATTGCCATTTTATGTTTAATACTCGTTCAAATTATTGTTGTTTAGTTTTGATCCGTGTCGGCCTGCTGCAAAAGCTGTAAACTGGGTCATTCAAGTGATGTATACAAAACTCATTAAGTCTTTCGGGGAGCTCCTAGATATTGAGAAAGATATATGGTTTGATAAATTCAAGGTAAATTGTATTTTTATTATAGTTATGTTATTTTATAACTATTTTTTGTTATATATATCTAACATTTTATTTGACTGTCATATAACTTGCAGGAAAGGTGTACTTGGCAAAAATTTGACAAGTTCAAAATTAAAAAAAAATTCAGAAGTAAGGTATCTAGCAGATTATCTGACATGCTCAGGAATGCTAGACAACATTGGGACAGAGATCAAACTCGTCCTAACTGGATAGGCGAGGAAATATTTAGGAAACTAATTGAGTGGTGAAAGACAGAAGATTTTTCAGAGAAGATCTGAACATGCTAAAAAGATTAGGGCATCTGAAGCAGGTGGTTGTCTTAGTACAGTTGGAAGTATCAGTATCGACGAACATCGTCGACGAATGGTAATTATAACTATTTTTTAAGTTTTATTTTGTATTATTGTATATTTAATTAAACTTCATTATTTTAATTAGAAAAAGGATTTGGGGAGGGAGACACGAATTAATGAGCTATTTGTGAAGACCCGAACCAAAAAATCGGGGGAGTTTGTTGACGACCGTTCCAAATCAACCTTGGTAACTTGTTTATTATACTGAACTGATAAATAGTTAAGATATTTTTTTAAAATATTTCGGAGATGCATCTCTAAAATAAAAATAACCAAACTTATAGGACTTCTCTCAGAACGGTCTTACTTGAGTGTGCAAGAGGTGCGTCTCAATATGAATCTTAAAAAATATAGAGCATTTCTGAAAATTCATGTGGTGCAGTAAAAGTATCTAAGATACACAATTTTTAGCACATAAATGAGTTAATGGATGAAAATGTTCTCTTATTTCATTTCATTCCTTTATTAAATCCTTTTATCATTGCCAAAAATACTTTTCTTTACCTCTTAAAATTTATTTTTTTAAGAGAAACTACATATATGCAATGATATCAAGAAAGTTTGCATGCACATAAAAAAAGTAATGGAAGAAGAGAATATTTATGTTATCGAAGGTTTTGAGGTATCAAAGAACAAATGAAATATGTTGTTGAAAATAATTACTTAACTATGATTACGTGTTTTATGTAAATGATTATACATTTAAAATTTAAATTATTTTTTGGCATTTTTGAAGGGTGTACGATTACGTATTTTGTGTAATCGATTATCATTCTTAAAAGTTGGAAAAATGACTTCTTTTTTTAAAAAATTTATAACCGATTACGTATTTTGTGTAACTAGTTATCACCCATGAAAGTTGGAAAAATACCATTTTACTTAGACTTATAATCGATTACATGTTTTGTGTAACCGATTACACCTTCGCAACTTTAATTCTTTCACTTGTTTACCTTGTCTTTTGTGAGTTTAATTGGTAAATTTTGATTGTCAGTTTATTGCTATGTATGAATGATACGTTTATATCTTAAAGAAATGAAAAATAGCACATTCTTATTGATGGATCATCATGAAGGAAAAACATTTACATTGTGTCAAACGCTCACCTAAAGGTCAAAGACTCACACAAACAAGTGAGAAAGATACCACATATTCACTCAAAACCTTGTTGAGTATAGCAAGTGTGAGTAGGATGGGTAATAGTCCCACATTAGCTAGAAATATGGAGACTTGAGCATTTATAAGTAGGAGAACTCATACACATATTACCTTAAGACTTTGAGTGAATATATGGTTTTGTCTCTCACAAAGGTGTTGCTTAAAGAAGGAAGTCACACAATGCTCAATGCTCCCTAGTGAAAAAACTCTCCCAATAATGGTATCAGTGCTCCCTAGTGAAAAAACTCTCCCAATAATGGTATCAGAGCTTTAGATTCACACTTGATGGGGGGAATGGTGAGTATAAAACTTATTAAATGTTTAACCTCCACGTTTTTAAGCAATGTGGGACTTAGAACTAACACTTGTTTCTCAACAATCTTCCCCTCAAGTGTGAGTCCATCCACTATATATATCCCCCCTTAAGCAGAAGCTCTTTCATCAACATGTTTGTACCACCGTTGAGAGACATCATTATCTCGTTATGGGAATTTCAACATAACACACCGTCTGTCCACCATTTCAGGAAGACTTTTGATGCAAGAAGTCGGTCTCTTACTCGAACTATCGACTCTGATACCACTGATGAATTATCATGAGGGGGAAATATTCACATTGAATTAAACACTCACCTAAAGGTCAAAGACTTGCCCAAACAAGTAAGAGAAAGACATCATATATTCACCTAAAAATTTAAAGTAATAGGTATATGTGTCCTTTTACTTCTAAAGTGTTTAACATTCACTTTTATAAATAATGTGAAATTTAAAACTCACACTTATATTTCAACATTTATAAATAATTGAGAATGGTGATTTTAAAGAAGATGAAATAGAAAAAAGAAGAAATTTTTTTTTGAATGAACTAAGTAGAATGAATTTAATAAAGATTCACCTTGTTTTCTGATTTGTCAATCAAAGACTTTAATAATATGTAGTTCACTTTATTAATCATTTTGATATTACATACCTCAAAACACAACTCGTGCGCCACGTGGATTTTATTTTATTTTTACATAGTGAAATAACTAAATATCACCCAAATACAATAACAACTTAATTAGTAACAACAAATTGAAATAAAAAGACATAGATATAATATCTTAATTAATCTTTCTACTCCAAACCGATGAAATCTCAACCTCACTATACATTTAATACTTTTTATTATGTAAACATAACAATTATGGAAAATTATAATGAAAAGTTTTAAGGTGAAGTTGTTAAAATGATTTATTTGGTGTAGTCACAATTCTGATCGATCAAAAAAATAATAGTGTTATAACATTATGTGTGTATCCTTGTATTTATGAATATTACAAATAAGTCTTTAACCTATTAAATTTTACAATAATATTAGTGAAAAGATATTACTAATACTTTAAAATATTCCTAAAAAATATATTTATGAATCTGGATGCAATTCCAACCCAATAAAAAAATTTTTATTTACTAAATCATGTGTTTGATTAATAAAAAGAATTTGAATAATCATGTATTTCATGAAGAAGAAAAACTATGCATTTGGATGCAAATTACAAAATAGTAATCTTTTAATTACAAAATCGGTGGTGGAAGATGAATAAGATGGACGTCAAAGAACAAATTAACTTGAGTTTGGAATTTAGGAATTTAGAATTTTTTATCAAGAAACTTATTTTTCTCAAATCAAAATAGTCATAAATTATTTTTTAATTTAAATTAAAATCATTATTTTAATTGAGGACTAGTATATGTAATAAAAAAATTCATATAGAAAAGACTCATTTAACAATGATATGACATCCATTATTATACTATTGATCAATTAAAATAACTTCTTGGAAAAATCAATATTATGACTCCACCATAGAAGCTCCCAAGATTTATTAGTTAAACAATATGGAATAACTAGTCCCTACAAAACATGTAAAATGAGAATCATCAAAAGCAGCAGAAAGAACATTTGGACATTTAGCATCTAAAAGCTCAGTATATTGATTCTGCGCACATTTTTCGGGTGAAGCAAATTCACCAGTGCAACAATCCTTTGGCTCCTTCGTGAAATGACATGGACTCTTGCAAGCAATCTTTCTCCCTTCATTACTATACACAGCCAACCAATCAGGACAATCATTGTCCAAATTTTGGATGCACAAAATTTTCTCGCATTCAGTTTCTATTGGGGTTAATGTAACAGGCACACTGAAACCATCTCTTAGGTCAACTTCGTAGGTACTTTTACCACCTTTTGGAACCAAATTTAACTTCACTTGAGTTACAGGATTGTGTGGTTTGCTTTCTAAACACTCCATCTTTTTAGTACGACAGTCTCCAACAGCACAATGAAAATCTGTATTAGGGTCTCCACTGCAACCAGTTCTAGCCCATATTGTACCTGACCATGTATCAGGAAGTTGGAGTTCAATTTGTTCCTCGGACTCCAATTTGACACCAGTGGGGTTCACTAGGTCCCCTTTTTCTGTATGAACTGCTGGCCAAATTGTTTCATGACCACCATTGATAATAATCACACTAACTCCGTTGGCATATGGAAACAAAATGCTCAGAAATATTATCAAACAGATAAACACTGGACTCACCATTGAAGATATATTGACAATGTTATTTTCTTTCAATGTTTATTTTCTAATCAACTAGTATTTATATTAACTGTTTAAACACAAATCTTGGAAAAAATGCTTCTATGGAAAAATTTAAGGTATGGGATATGTTCCTATAATTTTCTTGAATAAAACTATAAAGGTAATATAAAATAATTACTTTGCCTAAAAGAGCATACCCGTGCTTCATAGGCATAGATAAAACGCATATACATAGCATACTTAAATTTAGAAAAAGAAATAAATCCAAAATTAAAAGCCATATCATAAATGTAGATTATTTTATCAATAAATTAAGATATTAAAATTATTAATTAATATTCATACCATATATTTAGATAATTGATATGATGATAATTAAATTATTTGTAGAAGTAGCGTGATGTGACTGCGATAAATAAGATAAGAATGAAATAATGTTATTAATTAATATCCATATCATTTAGTTAATTAAATTATTTTATAAATATGTTAAAATATTAAAAACCAATTAAAAAGAAGAAGAAAAAAATTAAAAACTCAAAATTTTCTTTCATCTTTAACAACACCTAACACTTTGTTTCAATATCATATCATCTTCTTATTACTACGGGTTTTATCTTGGAGTTGTATTTTCTTGTCAATTTTTGCTTTGCTGCAAATTCATGAATTTGAACCATTTCTTTTATCTCTTTCTCTCAGGTCAGCAAAACTTCTTGTCTTGACCTAATTGTCTTTGACATTGAAGTACTCTTGTCTTGATTTAAACTTGGAGCATCACATTTGAACCATTGACTTCTAAAAGGGGTTTCCTTGATCGACGAGTGTGGTGTTATATGATATGGCTATAATACATATAATACTCAATGATGTTCTCCATAATTATGTTATCAAAAATATACAGGACATTGTGTGTAGTAGTTTTTCTTAAGATCAAAGTGATACACATATTACCTCGTGTAAAAGCTCGGCCAAAGTCCTTTTGCCTCCTCCGACTTCTTTCTCATTCTAGAGAGTGTGATTTTATTGTCTGCTTCCACTGCCCATTCACATATGGATTCACAACCAAAATAATCTATGTCTTGATGCCTAGTTTTTAACAGAGTTCGACCACATATGAGTTGAAGAATTGTGCCCTTTAGTCGAAGACAATGGTCTTTGATAAGTCATACCTACAAATACTATTTCTTTAATAGAAGCGTTGTACCTAGTCTTTTATTATTCACCTATGCTTTTACCCATTTGGTGAAGTAGTTCACCCCACTACTACGAAAAATATATACAACAAATGTTGAAAAAGGGATACCATCACGCGTGACCACCATTGTGAAGTAGCGTGCGATTGTATATGTGTTACTTTACAATCATGATCGTATGACCATTGTAGAAAACCTGAAAGCGCACGACATATTACCACGGTAACTTTAACTAACCGTTGTAATATATTAAAGTTCCAAGGTTCGATTCTCAACAACGCCTTTTTGGTATATATATTATTTTGGACAGCGTTCACTCTACAACAACGGTCATATTTAACAACCATCGTTAAATTATCTGCTTTTTAAACAAAAAATATTTATACTTTTTTGAAAAAATTTCATTTCTAACTTGTATTTTTGTGAACCGTATCAGAGCAGAAACAACAATTGTATAATAACAATAATTGTATTATATTACATCAAATCCATATATTGGATTAAGAACCAAATACTATATATATTGGCACATCAAAAGAAAAATGGCACAAAACAATCTACAACACACTATGTAACATCACATACTTCTATCTTAGTGTATTGGTTTCTTGTCTCTTAGTGTCTTGTCTCTTGGTGTCTTGACTCTAACCACATATAATTTCAAATAATCATACTTGTTAGTAAATATACTTAGAAATCATAACTTACATTAAACTATGAATAAAGAATAAAATACTTGTTAATTTTCACATATGCCTTCATTTTGATCGATACGAATTTCATGCACCCATCTCTATCAACTTCATCGTACGTGGTAGGCACTTGTGTTGTTTAAGAAGGAGTTGAAGGAATATCAAAACTTTCATCACTACTAGAAATCTATTTTCATCGGAGAACGACTGACAATTTCCATGATGTGTCCGAAGGGTCAGTCACATGGAAAACTTATTTTTCTTGTGAAGGCATGATGAGTGGTTTGGTCATATAGTTTGCCTTGTCAAGGTAAACCCAGGTGAATCCTAAGTCATCAGTTTGTACACCATTAATATTATTGGGAACCTACTTTCATTTAAATAAAGACACTTTGAAGATAACAGAACTAATCTCCCAAATTTTCTCAATGACACCATAGAACACACTAGATGCTAATATTGGATTCTTATCTTTCGAACTAGAGAAATACATGGATTCGGTCTCAACCATAACCCCGCTATTTTGCATTGTACTATGATCATCTTTTAATTTTGTATAAAAGGTATAATGACCAATGTCATATGCAGTCTAAGTTATCACATTAAATTTTGGCATGTACGACAACCATTTAATTATCTCGGATGCACTATGATCATTTGATATCCTTTTATTAAATAAATCTATTAATTTCTTGTTATGCTCGATGAACAACAACTTGTCACTCATTCATGGATATCTTTTCTTCAAAAGTCTTTTATGAGTAGCCACGTAAGGTTGAACTTCTTCAAGATTCTTCAATATATAAAAATGTGCCTGAATAACTACATCCCGAGCCATTGAATTAACATTTAAACCTTGAATACCTCTAGCTTAAGTGTCAGCATGACAAGACTTTGGAATTCCTATAGACTCTTGTAAACCCATAATTTCGACAAGACCATAATTTCGACAATATTAAAATTCAGGCTTTAAGGTCATCTTTGTCGAAGGATAGCAACAGGAGGAGAATCCAAGAATTGTTGACAAGGTTTTAAAGTTTCATTGTTTCGACAGAAATAGATATAATGTTCTGGCAGAATAGTTTGGAGAATTTGTGACTGAGGGCTTCGACAGAAGAAGTTTGTTAATAAAAGATAAGGTTTGGCAAGTACTGAAGAATTTTTCTCCTTTAAAAGGGTTTCGACAGTTTTGAAGAGTTACAAGGTTTCGTCACCAAGGAAGAGATTCAAATTCAAAGGTTGTAACCTTTGGCAGTTGGACACATGGAGGTTTCAGAGAAGAAATTTACATGCAGGCTGACACTTGTCGTTTAGTTATAGTTTTTCCGTTCTAAGCAGTTATTTTGTTTGTGTATAAATAGGATAGTTTGTGGTTAGAATGTGTGTGAAAATTTGTACAAAATTCCTGTAAAAGCTCTAAGTACCCAGTGTGAGAGAAAATGAGTCTAGTATTTGGAACAATGTACGTTTAAACACCAGTTATATTTCAAAGTCATTTTAAATTACTTGTTTATTCTTCAAGTTCATGTCATTTTACATTTCATTTACTTTTCTGCAAGTTTTTAGCCTTCCGACATCTTTTTGTTCTTGTTTAAACTTCTAACTTTATTTCATCTTTAAGTTCAAACTTCGTTACTTGCAAAATCAAAGTCCTTAATACTTTGACAATATTGATAAAACAAACCACAAATTAGTCACCAAAAGTCTAAGAGTATTTCGACAGAACCAAATGCACATGTATCCTAGGACTTGTATGGTTGGTCCTGCAAGTAACCCAACTTTCTGAAGAAATTGGTTAACCAGAGGTTGTTCGCCAGAAAACACAGCGAACAAATTGGCACGCCCAGTGGGACCAGTGCATTTGATAAAATCTAATAGAAATTTTTAGACAAATTGTTCCTTGCTACGTTGTATGATTCTTAGAAGCGGTAAATTAGCCGTAACCGACGTAGAGAGACCAAAGAGAACAAGAAGAAGAAACATGGCTAACTTGCCAAATGCTTCAAATATTTCTGACGAAACCATTCCAGTTTCCAATCCTATCCCTTCGTCAGGAACAATACCAGTGTCTGGCCCTGTTTTAGAACAGATTAGGCCTCCTTTGGGGGATTCCATACCAACGGGTTCAGGATCCCAGAATGCGCCTAGTTCTTCCACCATGGGACACGCCAGACCCTTGGGAACCCCTCCCCCTGGAGGAAATACATTCAGGCCATATCTGAATTATTCTCAGCCTTTGGCTGGGAGAGAACAACCGTACGGAATGCCAACTTCAATGATGGCAAGCCTACATAATTCGTCACCATTATTCTCTGATGCCATGGTTCAAGTGTCATCACCATTGCAAGGATCAGGATATGGTGGAAATGGAAATAGAATGAATCAAATTCCACCAGGTTTCCATATGCCCGCTATGACAAACCATTCTGCACAAGTAATCCGTCAGCAGATGGATGAAAGCAATCATGATATGGTGCAGGCTCTGACACAACAAATGGGAGACGTGTTCAATCCCTTAATACAAAACACTACCCAAACAAACCAAATATTGGCAGAACAGATGGCACGCATTGCTGATTTTTTTGGAGTCCCACAAGCACAACAAAGAATGCAATTAAACCAGAATCCTGCCAATAGGGCTGTCGAAGAGGAACTCACTATAAACCAAAGGCCCTTAGGGAACCCTCAGGAAAATCCCAGGGGGCAAGAGGTGATGGTCGAACAGCCTAATGTAGAAGAGCCTATTCGACAGGAACCAAGAAGGATAATAGTCCAGAGAAACCAAAATGCTGACGAAGTGTTACAGCAGAGAATGCGTTACAATAACATGCCTGTCGAAAATAATATTGCCACCATGGTGGAGAGAATAATGGCACAAAACGGAGTAAACGTAGGATTACAAAGGCCTAGTTATACTTCCCCCTTGTCTGAATTTATCTTACAACAAGAGTTACCACCAAGGTGGAAAGTCCCCAAATTCACAAAATTTTCAGGGGATACTAGTGAATCCACCATAGAACACGTGGCACGTTATTTGATAGAAGCGGGAGAGATTGCTAATAACGAGAACTTAAGGACGAAATATTTCCCAAGTTCTTTGACAAAAAACGCTTTC